CGGCCCCCTCCCGACGCCCCGGGCGGGTTCCCACGCTCTGCGCCCCGCTCCCCTGCCGACCGGTCGGGCCGGTTCCAGCCTCCGCCCGCGCCCCGCCTCACAGCCAGGGCTTCGGGGGAAACCGACAGGGGGGAGAGCACACTTGGTTGGGGGTCAGCGGGAGGGGAGGGGCTGCGGCGAGGACTAGGAGACAGAGACGACGGCTTGGGAGGCTACTTTGAGGAAGAGGCTAAGGGGGATCCGAGGAGGGGTGACATACTGGGGCGTTCCTGAAAAGACACGAGTATTTAGAACCTTGAAGGCGATTGGGGGGCCCGTGGGGAGTGGTTCCCACGGCCCAGCTCTGGGAACAGCCCGCTCCACTCCGGGGAATCCGGGCTCCGGGCAGCCGCGCGCGCTGGTGATTCACCTGTTGAGGGGCGGGGCAGCCGTGGCAGCATTCACCTGTCGGCTGTATTCCAGGTGCAGAGCTCCACTGCGCAGGCGCCCGGCCCCGCGGCTCCGCCTCGCAGGTGAGTGGCTCCAGATAAAGTCACACTTTCCCCCACCCCGCACCATCGCAGACTCCCAACCCGAGGAACCCGCTCGGCCAGGCTAAGCCCCCACCTGGGTAAGCCCAAGTGGGGCTCCAGTCAAAGTGCGTGTGTAACTTCAAAGGGGCTCTCCGGGATCAAAATTCACCCCAGACCCGCCCAGCATGGCACACATGTAGTTGAATAAACGAATGCATTAATGAATCAATCAATGGCTACTATTACTAATGACGATATTATAAAAGGAACCAAGCATTTCCCCCAAACCTTGAGACTATACGCTGAGCACTATGCTGAGTTCATCATATGAAGTGTCTCTTAATCTTTACAATCAACCCCATAAAGGAGGAACTATGATTGCCCCATTTTCCAGTTGCAAAAACTGAGGTTCAGAGAGCTCAAAGCACTTGCTCAAGGTATCCCAGAGCCCAGAATTCAAATTGAGTTCTGTCTCCCTCTGCTCAGTTCTTTCCCAGCCTCCACTCAGCAACTCCAACCCTCTGCCTTTCCCTGTGTTATCCAACAACTGAATTCTTGAACCCCTTCATGGTCACAAGCCAGGGAGAAGCACCTCTATTTCACAGATGCCATGAGATCCAGAGAGAAGTGACTAACCCAAGGTCAGACAGCAAGAAAGTGACAGCGCAGGGCTGTATTACAGGTCCCCTGTACCCCCACCACTAAATGTTGAGACATGGGAGGATGCAATTGGTGTACCCATTACTGCCAAGCCATTGGTCCCTGAAGATCTGTTGATTGAATAATAACTGCCTCCATCAGAGGCCTCTACACGTGACCTCAGGCAGCCAAGAACTCTGTGAAGTGGGGGTTAGTGTGCCTGTTTTCCAGACCAGGACACCAAAAGCTTAAAGGGTTTAGGTCCCAGGCAGTCAGCAACACAATGTGGGATCTGAACCCAGGCCAGACAAATTGCAGAGCCCCTGCTCTTAACCTTCCTCAGTTCTTAACCTTGCTTGATTCCAGGGGGGAAACAAGAGGTTACCCAAGCCATACACATGTAGGAAGTGGTAAAGGCATCCATGGTGGACACAGAGGCAACGGGAGAAGACAGACAACCTCCCCAACACAGGACCCACTGATGGCTCAGAGCCAGACACTCACAGGCAGGCAGCCTCCCGGGAGGGCAGCTGGGTGCAGCGACCTCCATTCATACACGGGCTCCCGTCCAGGCAAGGGGGTGCTGTGTAGGGACAAAGGAAAGTGGGGGGTCAACCAGGCACCCAGGAACCCTAGCTCAGAGTGACAGAGCCCATCCTTCCCTCCCCCAGGCAACAGCTGCAATGGGCTGGGGGTGTCTCTGTGGGTGCATGGAGCCCCCGCATCCACAGTTCCCACGGCCCCCCGCCCCGGCCCCAGCTGTTGGGGCTGCAGCTGTCCCTGCCAGCTCAAGCCCTGGGAACCACAAGGCAAGGGCGGGCAGGAGGAGGTGCTGACTTGTGCCAGATGTGGGGACTCAGGAAGCTGCCAGAATGGGGGGTGCAGAGGCAGGAAGTGAGGGTGCTGAGTGTTAAAGGGAGGTCTGGGGCTGTGTGCCCAAATCCCAGGGTAATGGAGAGGGCAGGGGCAAGGAGGCCTGGGGCCATGGGTCTTTCTTGCCCTGATGTCGGGCATCTACTCCAGCTGGGCAGAGCTGCATGGTGCTCTGGTGAGAGGGGCCAAGGCCTGTACCCCATGCACAGCCAGCACTGGGTGGTGCAGGGATAGGGTGTGGGTTGAAGGGAGGAGCATCCTGCACTAGGCATGTGCTGCCCTGTCCAGCATCCCCATCCCTGAGGGCTGTGTCCCTCTGGGGTGTGGCAGTCTAACTGTCCTGTCAGACTGGTCTGTGGTGAGGCTGGGTGTGAGCTAGTGGAGAACTGTGTGCCGGCAGGTGTGGGGCTACTGTGTGTGTGTGTGTCACAGATAGAGATGGAAAGAGAGAGATGGAGGGAGATAGAGAAAAACGGAGACACAGAGAAGGAAACCAGACGCAGGCTGACACAGAGAGGCTGAGATGTACAGAGACAGAGAGGAAGAGACAGAAGTTGAGCTGGACATGAGAATAGGACAACATGGCATGTGTCCCCTTCCTCAGGGGACAGGCAGACAGGACACTACCACCCAGAGAGGGGCCTGTGGGGGTTTGTGAACTCACACTAGGAGCCACGTGATGCAGACTGTGGGCCTCGCCAAACTATGGGCCATGTGAGCGACATGTGTGTGTGCTTGAAGTACACGGGTGTGTGTGTGCATGCTGGATCTGTCGTGAGTGCCCGTGCATGTGAACTGTTCGTCTGGTATACAGCTGTGTGTCTCTGCGGGACCAATGTATTCCCAGGTGTGTCTGCGTATGGGTTGGATGCGCCTGTCTGCGGGTATAAACTGGGTGCAGGCATGCCTTGGATCTGTCTGCATGTGTCTGAATGTGTGCAGGCAGCGTGTACAAGGCCTTGGGCTGGTGATCCCTGATAGGTATGAACATGTGTAATTGTACGTACCAGTATGTTAGTGTGTGAGCTGCGTATCCATTCTGCGGGTGTAGTGCGTGTGCGTGTGTGTGTGCACGTCCCCATCTGCATGTGTGACCCAGGGCTGTGTGTGCCTGCGAGTGTGTGATAGGCCGTGTGTGTGCGCGCCGGCCCCGCGGGGGCGGCAGCTCCTGCCCGATCCTGCCCGGTCGGTCGGGCACCGGTCGGTCGGGCACCGGGCTGGGCGGTGCAGGCCCTTCCTTCCCAGCGCCGAGGCCCACAGCGGCTCCCCGGGACCCCGGGCCAGGGCCTCTCGGCCCGCGCCCCTCTTCCGCCGGCCAGGCCTCCCTTGGGGGTGTACGCCCCCGCAGCCCTCGCCCAGGCCCCGCCGCCCGTCCCGCTTTGTCTGGCAAAGAAAGCGCGAGGCCGGCCCGGGGGGGAGGGGGTGTCTAGACGGCGCGGCCATTGTCCCAAGCGGGGGAAGGGAGAACGGGCAGGGGGAGGGGCGGGGGGCCCCGGCCGGCTGGGGAGGGGCTCGGGCTGCGGAGACGGGGCGCTGGAGCTGGAGAGGAGCACGTGGGCTCGCGCCCCCCGCCCTCCCTTTCCCTCCCCTCGCGGGGGCGGGGTCCCGTGGCCGCCCGGTTCCGGCGGCCAAGGGAGGGAGCGGGGCCGCGGGCGGGGAAAGGGGCGCGGGCGCCGCTGTGGCTCCAGCTCGTACTCCGGCTCCGGGTCTTGCGGCGCTCCGGCCTGAGAAGTTTTTCCCCGAGTTCGGAGCTCCGAGAACTTCGCGCCCCCTCCCCGTCCCCCACCCGGCCAGGCCAGCCCTGGGTGTGTAGGGGGGCTTTTGTGCGAGGGGTTCCCAACCTGGGGGCATTGGGCTCCAATCGTGACCTTCCCAGGACTCCAGACCGACGGGCATTGGGAGCGAGCCCCAGACTCTTGGTCCCCCCGATCTTGCGTCCCTGATCCCCGTACCTCAAGCTCCCACTCCCTCATTCCTGGGTCCCTTCATCCCCAACTCTAATCGCTCCTGAGCCCCTATTCTGCGGACCTCTGGGGCCCTGCTCCTTCCCCCCATTGAGCCCCTGCCCCCCCCCCGGGACTGGCACGTAGCCCCCGGGCTCCTGCTCCCTGCCCCCGTTCTGGTCCTTGGCTCCTAGGCCAGCCCCCCAGCCCCAGACTCGGGGGTCCTTAAACTCCGCTCTTACCCTCCCCCAACCCACCCACCCAGTCCCGCCCGCTAGGTCCCAGCCCCTCACCTGCAGCCCCGGGCCCCGCTAGCAGTAGCAACAGGGGCAGCGCCCGCGCGGGCGGCAGTG